TTAGCAGAGATGGGGTTTCGCCATGTTGGCCAGGCTGGTCTCTTAACTCTTGACCTCAGGTGACCTGCCTGCCTTGGCTCCCAAAATGCTGGGATTACAGGCATGAGCCACTGCACCCAGACCACCTTTCCTTTTGATCTAATGCATGGGAGTAGATCTTCCTTTGTAAGCCTTTGCATTGGTGACAAGCCCTCTGTGAGTCTAACTCTTTATAAAGCTAAACCCTCCTTTGAGAACAGAACTGCTGGGTGAAAAATTCAGAATGCCAATTTGAAGTGACTTACATTATGATAAGCTTACACAATTGCTTGTCTTTTATTGTAGCTACTAAATCAGGGGGAGGCACAGAGGAAGAAGAATTTCAAAAAACAATTGCCTTTTATTTTTATTTTCCCAGTGAAGTTTCTGTGATCTCTTTATTAGACACAATGTGTATTAGCTATTCTACTCATAAAGAACAAAAAAAAAAAAAAAAACAACATGCCAGTAAAGGAGAAATATTTTCTGTCTCTCCCTTCCTGTGAAAACGTCAGATGAGCTCATCTGTGTTCTCTCCTTTCAATGAAAGACACACTCATCCCTCAGCCCTCATCTTATTCTCATTTCCCATTGATGATGTCAAGCAGGCCTTACAGTATCTCTTTTGTGATCTTATAAAATCAATGACAACCAAAAATGTTTCCCTTTTGTCGATGACCTCACCAATGGTCAATACCTGGAGAGGCCCTTATCTGCATTGGTAAGTACAGCTAAACTCCACCGATCCAGATTGAAGCAATTTACCAGGAAGCTGCTGCTTTCCTTCAAAACCTTGCCTAGGCCATTCAGATTTGGAAGATTTCTGAGCAAGATGGCTGAGTGCTGAATCTAACAGGCCAAGATGGTTCGCCAATCTCTGTGCTATGTCTGTACACATCAGAGTCTCCTTTACCTAGCCCTGTTTATTCCTAAACACAAAGTAATTAATACTTCAAAAAGTTAGGTATGAGACATTTTGGTGACATTCCTACAATCCCTTCCCTGCAATCTTCCCCTCCTGTAAGCTACTTTCATCTACACTTGGAGCAGTGAAACAGGCATCCAGCTTAGTGAATTTAGACAAATTTTGTGCCATTTGGTCTAAATGGCTATGAGTTCCCTGGGATGTTCCAGGGAGGTAGGGAGGAAAACACTGGCCATCTCCATGCTGAGAGACACTTGCAAGGTACTCCCAAATCTCTGAGACCTAAAGATAAAATCAACACAGAATCAAAGAGTTTAGAGGGGAGAAAAAGGCACAAAGGACAATATTTTACAGGCCAAACAGGGCAGGGCAAGGAAGGTTTGGCTGTATATGTCTAAAATGAAATGGCGTTTACATGTTCAAAAAAAAACTTGTGTATAGAGTAAGACATAGAACTCAAACAAATCTGAGAGGCAGAATTGGCAAGACACTGGATCCAGAGGGTGGGCAAACTCAATGGCAGGTATCTGGCTGTGGGCCAGGGAGAGCCCGTCAGGCCTCTCTCTCTGTGGCCCTTGAAATATTCATCACAAGCCACCTCCCTTGCTCTGAACCCAGGTGCGCCACATACTTTCCGGATGGTTAATCTAGCTTCCCTAGCTGACACTGAGACACTGAGAGAGCTACCCTACAAAGGGTTTGTGAGCATTCTGGTCACTGAAAAGGAGTCTCTCGCGCTGTAAACATAAGTTGGCTTTTGTTGAATGTATTATTCTCTCAATAATAATAATAGTTAACAACTATTCAGTGGCTGCTACATGCCAGCCACAGTAATAAACATTTTTTTAAATGAATAATCGCATTTAATCTTCATGAGAACTTTCTGAGTCAGGTACTATTATTACCACCATTTTCCAGATGAAGAAATTGAGTCAGTGAGTATAAAGAAGTTGCTCATGGTTACACTGAAGAAGTGACAGAGCCAGGACGCAGACCTAGACCCCAAGCCTCCGGGACCCATAACTGTAGCTGCCATGCTATGCCTGCTTTTGTGAATCATTATGAACAAATTTCCCCGCATATGGTCAATGCAGGCACACCAGAAAGACCCAAGTCCATACTTTCCTTATAAAATCATAGGGACACTTGATTAACTTGAGCCTCAAAATTTTTTCCTCTTTGGCCTACAATTCTACTAAAGTCCAGGAAAAACCCTGCCGTTTCCTTAAAAACACAGTAGTGCTGAGATTCACCATGAGGATTTCACTGCAAGTGAACTGAATCAATTTCTAAGTTCATACTTGAAAAATATCAGTGTTAAGATTCATACTGAAAGACACATGGAAGTAGGGTTGGGCTAATGCTTTGCACATCTTAGAACTGTTTTCAGGTTGCTCCACTCTCGAAGAGCTAGAGGAAGAAAAGGAGGCTCACATTTACTGAGTGTGAACAATGCACCTGGCATTGGGTTAAGCGCTTTTTCACACGTGCAATCTTACTTAACCTCACAACAACCCTGTAAAGTAATGTTAGTTTCATTTTTACAGATGAGAACAGATACTCAATGAGGTTATATACTTTGTCCAACATCACATAGCTAATAAGCAGTATAAATGGTAATCAAACTTAGAAACGCCTGATACCCATTCGCCCCCACCCCTCCAGTTGAAGTTATATTCAGGTTATATCTTACAACCTGCTAAGCAGGATCTCCAAGCATACATCTTTTTTTTTTTTTTTTTTGAGACAGAGTCTCACTCTGTTGCCGGGCACCAGGCTGCAGTGCAGTGGCACAATCTTGGCTCACTGAAATCTGCCTCCTGGGTTCAAGCAATTCTCCTGCCTCAGCCTCCCGAGTAGCTGGGACTACAGGCACACGCCACCACGCCCAGCTAATTTTTGTATTTTTAGTAGAGACGGGGTTTCACCATGTTGGCCAGGATGGTCTCTATCTCTTGACCTCATGATCCGCCCGCCTCGGCCTCCCAAAGTGCTGGGATTACAGGCTTGAGCCACCGTGCCCGGCCCCCAAGCATACATCTTAAGTAAATTGTAACTATCTCCCAATTACAGGTAGTCATGTATCCATCTCTTGCCTTCACTCATCTGTCAGCATCAGGGAGCACAAAACTCAGGTTTTATTTATTGCTGTAGGTTCCACAACATGTGGCAGGGGGTGTGCTCAGAACAGGAGCTGCCGTACCGCCTAATGCTGTGAGCGTAGACATTGCCACAGGTGTGGATGATAAGCTCAGGTAAGGGTGCAAATACTGTCTTAAGGCAATGTACATTTTGAGCCTTTGTTTTTAGAAGGACTGCTTGACAGATTTTCCAGTAGACGGAACAAACCCCAGCAGCAAAGGTACAAGGATGCAGCTCCCTCCGCCCCGGGCGTGGTGTCTATAGTCACACTTCACCAGGCAGACCCTCTCCTCCCGTTCCCTGGTGCCTCTTTGGCTGCTCTGTCTCTCTTCCCTGGCTTTGAACTTGTTGGCAGCCTCCAATAACCCCTCTTCAAAGAGCTGAAGACAAGCCTGATGTTACAATTGCCTTGCTTAATTCCAGACAGGTTTCTATTAATCGTATTAAATTCGGGCGAACAAAGGGTATTTAGTCTGTGACAGAGCTGAGCTATATCTGGATTAATATAAACAAGAGAATTAATCCTGCAAGAGCCACTATCTGCCAGCAACTGGAAAGATGTCAGCAGTGCTCTTGCTAAAGCAGGTTGGAGGGTGGACGCAGGAGGGATTTAACACCATTGGTGCTGAGCATCTGGACTCTGTATAAAGAGGGGAATGAAGATTGCAACTGGAATACATTAGAAGAAAAGCAAATGTTTTATTCATAAAAAGTAGGCATTAATAATATCAGTCTTTAATCTGGCCCAGGGCCCCTTAACTGGCCTTCCTCAGTGTTGACTTTGATCTTCCCCACAAAGCCGCCTGCTAAGGGTCCCCTCCCAGATCAGCCTGAAGTCATGGGAGCAGAAATGCTGTTGCTAAACAGATATGCAAGGGGGTAGCATGTGTGACTGGAGTACAGTGTGACAACATAATCCTGGCAGGGACAGATGAAGTCAGTGTGGGGTGATGTTGGTTTTTCTAGCATCTACTGAATCATCTGATGAGAGCAGCAATTGAAAAGAGTAAATACAAACACATGCCACACAGCCACAAAGATGGGAGGGCCCAGATCGGAGAGGAAGGATCCTATTTTCTCAGATCAGTGGGAAAGTGGGAAGAATAATGAGCTGGGAGTTAGGAGACTCCAGTTCCCTTCTTCTCCTCGCCATTAGCAGAGCAGCTGTGTGACCCCGGGTTGCCTGGCCTCTAAGAAACAAGGGCCCTGGTCCAGCTGGTATCTAAGGTCTATTTCAGTTTCAAAGACATGGGTTTGTCCTACGCAAAGAGGTTTCACAAAAGCTGTACACGTCTTTTATTACAAGACCACACTTTGGGAGACATCGTACTGAGTTGTGATGTTCTTAAGTCACCATGTGTAGAATGTATTGTCTAACCTCAATGGATAAAGGGGAAGTATTGGCAGTGCATCAGAGGAAGAGGTTGAAATAAAGCAGGATCAATGAGAAGTTCTGGGGATCACTCCTGCTTCAACCCATGACCACAGAATTCCAATGACTTATGGGTCTTAAAGTCTTTCTTGCAACAGGTGGAACAAGGAGATGACAGGATGCAAAAGAGTCTTCAGTGATCATAATTCACGATTCATGTCCCAACATGCTACTGACTTGCACACATCGCCTTTGCTCACATTCTTTCTGCATGAAATATCCCTGTCTCTCATCAAAATTCCACTCACTACAACTCTAAGACCTCCTGGCAGGAATGTACTGTCCTTGCATACTATTTGGTTATCAGTTATAATACTTCATTCTACCTCAAACTACACTGCCATTATAATTACAGATTACAAACTCCCTGACGGTGAGATCTGGGTCTCCTTTATCCATGCCTCTCTGGGCCTGTTTGACACACTGTAGGCACTCATTCATTAAAAGTTTATGAAATGAACACAACAGGGGTTTTCAGGTTACCTGCTAATGTGACTGCAATGGAGACAGAGTCGGATCCCAGGGCATTGGTGGCATTACAAGTGTAGAAACCCACATCCGCTTCCACTGGTGCCAAGATCTGTAAGGAGTCATCTGACTGTAGAAGAATCCTGGAAGAACAGAAAAGAAATATAGACCCGGTCAATTCAGTTGACTCCTTTTTGGCATTCAGTATTGGTAAGGCAGGAAGGAACCTCAGGATGTATGCAGAATCCTGTTTTAACAACACAGACAAACCAGGTAAAAGGACAATTGAGAACCTGGGCTTTCGTCTCTTTGATTGGTGTGACTGTGGTAGTGATCACAAATAAGAAGGTTTCTCATAACTTTTGCAGCCTGTCGATTATCTGATCTAAATGCTACCAGCTGGAGCAGACAACATATGTGCAGCACCAAATACATACAACACACACAGATGTCATTGGGGAGGGGGGATGCTAGAACAAATGGTACAGATAGATTTGGGGAAGGATCACTAAAGAAAAAGCAAAGTTACAAAAGAGAAATAGAGCTTGGTTGGATGGTCAAAAGAACGTAGGGCTTCCAGAGATAAAGAAAGACATCTTGGCCAGACTCGGTGGCTCATGCCTACAAGCCCAGCCCTTTGTGAGGCCAAGGTAGGCGAATTATCTGAGGCCAGGAGTTCAAGAACAGCCTGGCCAACACAGCAAAGCCTCATCTCTACTAAAAATACAGAAAA